ACCTTTGTAGCCACTTTCTTCTATAAATCAGAGAGATGTTAAGTAATCTCCAGTTAACGACACTAAACTAACACAAGAAGAGACTTTTCTACAAGTGACAGCATTGGTACAATTTCATTATATAGCTGATAAAATTAAATTTAGCTCAACGTTTCACCTATTAGATTGAGTTTTTTCAATACTGATTCGATAATCCTTAATATCACTAATTCAAATGTTTATAGTCAAATGCTTTACAGTTTATAAGTCACTTTAGATTCTCTATCTGGAAAACCTTTCATTTGTCCATTGTTCTTACCAATAATATACATGTAAACAAGAAGGAGAGATGAAGAAATAGCAAGACAGAGAAATACCAAGAAATGCTTGTTACTTCGGGACAAAATGTTTACTATAAATAATCTAAGCTGCCTGGTGGTGAGGATACCATCATCAGCTTGCCTGTTTATTCATTCAACAAATATTTACTCAAGTCGGTATTGAGTGGCCAGCTCATTAATATCTATAGAGCCTAACACAGACCTGGGCCATATTAGATGCTTAATAAATATAAATGATCAGGCTACTAGCAAGTCTGAAATAAATGATAAAAGCCACACTTCTATGTTATTTTCCTTATTAATTATCATCATTATTATAAATCATGTTCTCTGTCATCATAAGGTTTATCTCCTTTGAAAGAAATGGGCAGATATGAAATTACTAGGGAACAATTCATGATAAAAGTTGAGCTACAATAAATGTAGCTCAATAAATGATGTAACAATTAAGGAGAGATCATTATTCATCCAACAAAAAATGTTCATTACATACTTGCTTGAAATAACCAAACACCATAATTAATTCTTAGTTCAAGATTTAGGAAAATAACATCAATTAAAATATGCAACTTTCCAATAATCTGCTATATATTGAGTGTTACATTTTTTCTATAGTGTCAATAAGAATTTAGATCTGACTTTCTCACACTTATATAGAAACCAAATTGTTTCTGTCAGTTTATTTTGACTATGGGAAAGTTGTGAGTTTATATTTAACTAAAACACAATATTTTCAATATTTAATTAAATAATTATTTTTAAGAACACTTTCATTGAGCATTTAATTTCTATGCAGTAAATCAAGCCCCTCATTTCATGTCTTTATCTTCCCCTAATCTCCTCATAAAACCTTAAATTTTAATAGTCATATCATGTGGCTTGAACTTAACAGTAGTTTCATTTATAGTAATATAACAAAAAAAAATCCATGTATCAAAACTAGGACACTTGATTCAAAAGTCATTTTGTCCTAAGTTTTTATATTTTTAAGAGTACAGTTAATCAAAATTTAAATGTGATTACATTTTCAAGTGAAATCAAACTTCATCACTCTGAAAAATGGGATGAAAAACCTTATCAAACATTCAAATCTTCGTTGAAATGATATGCCAATCAGATTTTAAAAGTTATCTAATTGAAACAGCATTATACATTTTAGCAAGAATGCAATCAACTTCTCTATTTATTGCTTCACTCTATCAATTAAGGATGGAAATAAGATTTTTGAACAAGATCAGGATATAGTTTATACTTTCTGACTTTGAAGACTTATAAAAATTTTCTTGGCAGTTTAATGAATAACCAAAATTTCTAAATTTCTAACTTTCATAGACAAAACATACGATCTATTATACCAATCAGCAAATGGCTAAATCTTTTTAACTGGGGATTAGACCCAGGGGCCTTTTACCACTGAGCTACATCCCCAGCTTTTAAAAAAAAATTTTTTTTTTTGAGACATCCTGCAAACTTGCTAAGGCTGGCCTCAAACTTGTGATCCTATGCTGCAGCCTTTCAAGTCACTGAGGCTATCAATGTGCACCACTGTGCCTGACCTAATTTTCAGATTATTTATATTTCTAAACCAAAATCAAGCAAAAGTAATAATCTAAAGTGCTGAAAGTCTTGTTTTACTTCTAAATTTCCAGTCCTATAAAAAGTAGAAGAATTTATTTGGGACAACTCAGATAACTTCAAAGGTACATAAATAATTTCATAAAACAGCCTTTGAATATTCTCAAAACTAAGTATTGATATTAAGAATAGTTCTGATTCTACCACTCCTAGGTATCATCTTGAGACTCCTCGGTTCTCTTCCTTTTCTTTCTCCTAAATTTCTGCCTTCTTAACTTCCTCTGTTTTTTTTTCTTTCTTTCAATATTTGTGTGCACATGTGTAGTACTGGTTATTGAACCCAGGAGTGCTCTACCACTGAGCTACATCCCCAGTCCTTTTTATTTTGAGACAGGGTCTTGCTGAGTTGCAGAAGCTGGCCTCAAATTTGTGATTTTCCTGCCTGACCTCCTAACTAGTTGGGATAGAAAGCATGTGAAATTGTACCCAGCTCTTTTCATTTTTAATTCCTCTTTTTCTTCTTGCATGTATCCAGTGTTATGGGAAAGAATTAGAGGTAAATTTCAGTAGTTTAAAACAAAAGTGGCATTGTTTTGATTTTTATTTTACGTTAAAACATTGAAAAAAGTAACTTTTATCCACATGATGTACTTAACTGAGCCACTCTTGTAGGCAATGGAAGAAAGGGGAAGGAGACCAAAAGTTTTATTTAGCCAGATTTGGACTAAGAGTGGGTCCTAGTAATTGATACAAGAGCAGATAGGGCAGACAGACAATAGTATTTGGGAATCCCAGGGAACTAATATCCTTTTAATCACAGACTCTATGAAAAAGGGAGAATTTGAAGATTTCAAATCCAAGATAAGGTATATAGGGACAGGTTCTGAATCCAAACTGAATGTCCAAGCAAGACCAAAAGAGAGATGGAGAAAGAAAGAGGTACTCACAGGACACTGCCAGAAACCCACTACCTGAAAAGGAGCTGTGGATGATTCTGAGATGATACAGATGCCTAGAAAGTCAATCCTTGGCTTATGAAAGAACTCTATGCATTTGGTTAGAATTGGAAAGAAGTATCCATTCTTAGAGACTAAAACCTTTTGACCACAAAACAAACAACAGTAGTTTGAGTAATTCAAACTACTTACGCCCCTTATGATTTGAGAATGATCACTGCAGAACCTTTTCTCAGGCTAAAAGTGTAATTGGTTATGGATCAATAAGTAATTTCTTTTAGAAGGAAAAAAAACTCTTGTTTTCTTCCCTTTTATTTATTTATTTTTTGAAGTAGCAAGGCTGTTAAATCAGAACTGAGCAAGTCTATATTGAAACTTGAGATGACTCTAAACAGCAAGATTCCTTACTCCACTAGTTAAGTTTACCTCCACTGATCATTTATTTACGATGCCATAAAAACCCAGATGCTTTCCGTTTTGATTGTTAGATATTTGCTAAAAGGCAACTGAAATTACTTTCCCAGAGTTGCCATTCTGACAACCTCATTTTAAATGGAAAATTTACGATGGTTCAATAACAGTTGTGCTGAGGTGTTGTTTTTTGTTTATTTTTTCAAGATTAGCAATGGATTCAGTCTGTGCAGTCAGTGTCAACCCTTACTCTGCTTATTGGGAATTCCAGAAGCTTAATGTAAATGTAAGATTAAGAAACTAACAAAATCTTTTGGAATTAAAATATCATTCTATTCTGTGTTAATCTATTCTGTGGTTTGGTGGTTTTTCTAATTATTTTAGGATTGGGGCCTACAGTCCAGTTTCCAACAGGAGAGATCATCATGACCCAGTCACATATCCTTTGAGGCATGAACACTGGTAAAAGGGAACTTATAGGGATAGAACAAAACAACACGAATCAAACCTACATGATCACAAGATACAAGGGCTCTAGACAACTATAGTTGAGAAATCAAATAGGGGGCTGGGGATATGGCTCAGTGGTAGAGGGTTTGCCTAGCATGCTCAAGGCCCTGAGTTCAAACCCCAGTACACACATACACAAACACGCTCACACACACAGAAATCAAATAGGGCAAGGAGAGAAGAAAATGAAACTTTAAGAAGATAAAGAGAGGTAGACCGAGAGCAATGAAGATAAGAAAGCTTTAGAGGCTGTTTGTGGGGCTGGGGATTGAACCAGGGCCTTATGCATGCTAATAAAGTATTCTAAACACTGAGCTGCAACCCCAGCCCTAAAGTTCTGGAATATGTGACACTTTACTAAATTTGTTATTTTGATATATTGGTAAAATACCAATATCTCTGAACAATGAAAGACTGTGCATGCTGCTTTGTAAGTAATGAAAGGAAATGAGGAGATAGCATTATAGCCATTCTCACTAATAATTCTTTGAACACAGAGATAGAGCAAAGAGTCCCTGAATTATGAAGTTAATTATGGCAGCTTTAAAAAAGAAATGAAAAATTTTTCATTCAGGAAATACTATTTGCCTTCTACTATATGCTGGGCAAATTCTTGTGAACAGTTTAGAGCTTACAGATAGAGAAATGGTCCTGGGACAGAAGTGGTTAAGTATCTATAATATTTTCCTTACACATATCAAAATGAGTTAAAAAATGGCATAGAGACAATATTTTTGCCATTTTATTTTACATCCTCAAATAAGTTTTCTTTCCTTCCTTCCATTTCATATAACTTTTGACAAATTTTCTCCCTGGCAAGAAGAGGAATGAGAATACTGAATCCAGATCTTTGATTGTTACCAGCATTATGGCCTCCTGCGTCCTACCAGATGGTATAGTATCTACTGAGCAATAACTCATTTTATTAATTTGGCAAGTCTGCCTAAAGACACAAAAACGGCTCCAAAAAGTATTTGAAAAGACCAAATTGAGAGGAATTCACACTCAAAAGGGGACTAAACCTTTTTTTTTTCCTATTATAAAGTATAAAGTAACAATAGTAGTAGGTCTAAAATTTTAATATATCTAGGTTATATTCATATTTTCCATAGCATAGAACAGGTTTCTGGGAGAAGAAAAAAAAACACACAAGATAGGAAACTATAAATTATACAAGAAAAGCAAACAGTAAAATGTAAAAGCCGAAATGCATTTAAAATGTACTTACTATATGCAGTTCTAGGTAGTCCCCCAAGCCTGAAGAACTGTCCACTCGTACCAGGACTGCTTCTTTCTGAACAGTGCTAAACCCTATGGCCAGTCTGTCTGCTCTCGTACTTGGACGGTCATTAGGAGGCCACTTATACGTGATTTGTCCTCCACCTTTGCTAAAGATATACGTTGTCCCAGCTGTAAAACAAAAACCAAAACCAATTAGTCCCAATATATCCAATTCCCACTTTCCCATGTTTCTCAAGTTGATGTATCAGTAAAGCATTAGCTTTACACACAAAAACTGCGGCAAAGCAAATAATAAATTTCAATCAAACATGCTCAAGAAAGGGGACAGAGTTGTTTTAAAAGAAATAGAAAAGCAGCTCCGTTTTTAATACACTCATTAAATCTACCAGCAGGTGTTTCAGAACAAACAGTCGATTACGTCTTTTTCCATTGAGTTAGACAAGTATGGAATGTAATGGGGTTTTATTTCTTCCTGCCAGTTTTTAAAATAGTTTAGTAGGAAACATTGACTAGAGGCTTCCAAAAAGCAGCAGAGACATATATCAACTTGTTTCTGAAACAAGAACTGCATGTAGATGTGACAGGGTCATACAACATTGTGGAACAAATCACAACAAATACTCTGAGAATCAAACTTTTATGGGGAAAAGATCCATTCACATGTGACAGACGATAACTAATGAATGAACAGCCATAAGCCCCACTAGTCATGTCAAGAAAATACAGATAATAGATTCTATCTATACCAGTCAAGTCTTATGTAACAAGCAACATCTAATGGCTGTCAAACTATTCAGCATTATAAAGACCCACTCCCCTATCCCACCAAAGTGAATACTAGTTACAGCACTGAGTATAATGTCAGATCTCATTTTGAGAGTGTTCAAATTTTACTTCATGTTAGTGATATCAGTAAATTAGCCAACTTAATTTAAAAAGAGTTTTATTTCAAACAGTGTCCAAATACCCAGAAGCTCAAATTCATTGCACTACTAACAATGCATTGTCAATGAAGGCAATAAAATGAATTCCTTGAGTGACTATATTCAGAAGAGACATGCAAAGATTTACACAGGGGAGAAGGAGAAAGAGAGCTTCCTCTACACTAAAGGAGACTATAGAAATGTTTATTTAATTAGCCTAGGAACAGATGTTAAGGATAATTCATAAAGAAGAGTATAGCCTTCCAAAACAAAGAATGAAGACAGGGATTCAGTGTGTACCTACTATGATGGATGTCAACTTGACTGAGTCATGGGGGTGCTAAAATAGCTGGTGAAGCATTATTTTCAGGCTTATCCTGAAATCCTGTTTCTAGAAGAGGTAAGCATTTGAATTGAAGAACTGAGTAAAGCAGGTGGTCCCATCCAATGTGAGTGAATACCACCCAATTCATTGAAGGCCTGAATAGAACAAAAGGTAGAGGAAATTTGGATTTTCCTTCTATCTTTGCTTGACTGCCTACACTGGGACATCAGTTTTCTCCTGCTGTCAGAAATTCTGGTTCTTAAGTCTTCAAACCCAGACTAGTCTATACCATTGGGTCTCAGGCCTTCAAACTGCATCCCTGGCTTTCACAGGTCTCCGTCTTTCAAAAGGTGCTTCTCATATGTACAAGATTAGGTAGTTAGGAAATAGAATATTCCATATTGAATTTATTTCTTTGGAGATAAATTATACCTACTATGTGTCAAATAAGAAAAGAAAAGCAACATTAAAAATGAAGCCACGAAATATCCTGTTTTATGGAAAAATGAATTCTACTCAGAGTTAATACCAGTGTGTAAACCTTTTATGTATACCACTATGGTGAGTTTTTTGTTTGTTTGTTTTTATAGTACTAGGATTTAATCCAGGGGCATTAGACCATTGAACTACATACCCAACCTTTTTTTCTTTTTTATTTTGAGACAGGTTCTCACTAAGTTGCTCAGGCTGGCCTTGAACTTGAAATCCTCTTGCTTCAGTCCCCTAAGTAGCTAGTGTTTCACACAGGTGCCACTATGCCTCACTCAGGAATATGTTTTATTTCCCCCACAATTTTAATTTGGTACATTATAATTGTACATAATGATGTGACTTGTTTCAGCAATATGCTTTAAAAATATCTATACATTAAATTTATATGATGACCAATTTGCCACATTTGCACATAATAATACACCTGACAGATTTTGTGCTTTTAGGTTGGGGTGGGGGCAACCAAACTTTTTTACATCTCAGATGTATCCACGGTCCCTTGATCTTCAAAGACCTCTATAATAAGGGTAAAATAATATTAATGGTAAAATATATTTAATATTATATTTAATATTAAGAGTATAATATATTTAATATTAAGGGTAAAATAATCCCTTGGTATATAGACCCTTGGTAGATATATCCAACAAACAAGTCAGAAGACAGTTAGATGTAAAAGTATTAAAACCAGAATATTGTTTAAATGAAATGGTATAGAGGCTGTGCACTTCTCTGTTAATTTTTTTGGATGCTAATGCATAAAAGAAGTTCATCTCTCTCATGTGAGAAAAATAAGTCATATTTCAAAGACACCAGTCAATGTGCAAGCAAATAAAATTTGGAATATATAAACTGTATATCAGAAATGCCAGAGCTTTCCAGAGCCATTTATGTCCTACATCATCAAGTACTGTCTGGTAAACATTTTTATGCTTGCTGAGTCTTGCAGATAACTAATATTAACTATTTCAGTAAAGCATATTTAATAAAAATAGAACATATAAAAGCTGAAATTTCTTTGAAAGGAGATGTACTGGTTGCCAGCTACCTCTGAATGCTGATATTTACTCAATGGTTAATTTACATTTCTCCTTTTGATTAACTCTGTTCTCTAATGATATGGCTGTCATGTGAAATAAAAGTTCAAAATTAGAGCTACTATGGAACAATATTTATCATCTAAGAATTCAGATTTTTTAAAAATCAAAATTGACAAAAAAAAAAGTTGTATTGTAAATCAACATTACCTTAATTTCATAGCGACTTTAAAAATCACTTTCACAATGACTTTGTTCTTTTATCTATTTATGTAAAGAAAGTGGGATAAACATTACTCCCATGTTATAATTGAGGAAATTTAGCTATAAGAATTAACCTGTTATCTAAAGCTATATACTTGGTTAAGTGGCAAAGCTGATACAAAAACTAGTAGACAGACTCCTTTTTCAGTGCCTATTGTTTTTATTATTATTATTATTGCAGAAATGTTTCTGTCATAACAAGATGGTCAAGAAAAAGTTAATTGGATATTTCAGTCTGAAATTTTCAAGGCCAACTGTTACAACATTCTAATAGGGTCTCATGTTCATAAAGTGTCTTTTGCACCTGAAGCTCTTATACTCTCCTTTTGCCTCAAAATGCTTTAAAACATACAAACAAACAAAAAAAACACATGTAAATGTGAAATGACAGAACATTTAATATATTCAGAACATTTAATACATTTCCCAAACTTCTGGAACTGTAAATGTTTCTAGTCATACAGTTATAAACCTTAGATGATTATAATATTATAATATAATATTATAATATTATATTATAATATTATAATATTACTACCTCAACTTTGATTTCCTATATTATTTACTAACTACCCATTTTCAATATGTGGTAAGACTTGGTAAATAGCATGAGATTCACTAATTTTTAGTTCTTTAGTTTTGACTAAAACAAAGAAAAACAATTTTACAACTATCTGCCAAACCTTGAGACCATTTCTAGTTTCCTTTTTCTCCAGAATCAGATATCCAGTCCTCCCACAACTCTGTTTTATCTACTTCCAGAGGCATCCTAATTTCTTTTTTTAAAATTTACTTTGCATCAAACTTGAAAAAGTTTTCTATGTTCAAAATTCTCCCTTTAATACAGCAATAAAATTATTCTTGTAATCAAATATTGTCAGTCATTTGACTGAAGTTTCAAACCCTAGCTCATTTATGTTCATCTTTCTTATATGAATCAAGGGTAAAAATGCTTATTGCAGAAGAGGAACTTAGAAACTAAGGATGTAAACTCTGGACTTAGTCAGACCTGGGTTCAAACTTCAACTGTATTATTTACTAACTACGTAACCTTAACAAGTGATTTATTTTAAGACATGGGGTTTTTATCTTTTAAAAAAACAGGAATAGCAGCATTACCTTACAGAACTTCTGTCAGCATTAAATAAGATATTGCATAGTAACACATACTCCAATTCCCAGAATATGGTAAGTGCCCAATAAATCTTAGAACAATTGGGATTGTGTGTGTATGTGCATGTGTATGTGTTGTAAAAATATAAAATAACATTGCAACATTTTTGTTTTATTTTAACATAAGAGCCTTTAGGAAAATTTGATGTATTTGAAAGTAATGTTCAAATCAAATACTTTTAAAAAAAAGAATGTGGCAGTTTTATTAATCTTTCCAGTATTTCATTCTTTGAATAGCAATTTTTATATATAGTATTATTTATATGCACTATTATTATATGCACTAATAGTTGACAATGGAAGTGATATTAAACTGTATCACATGGGAGCTTTCACAAGAAAAAGAATATTAGTTCATTACCATAAAACATCTAGAATGGAAAGATTTATAATATGAGGCAAAATAGTCACTTGACCATTAAATAAAGAGGTAAGCATACATAAAATGAACTGCAAAGTAGCTTTACATTTTAAATTTTATTTTTACAGAAAGATGTTTTATTTTATTATGTAAGTGAATTAAATGTGCAGTGGTAGTACATCTTAACCACGGTCATGATTTTTATCATTGTGGAGAGGAGCGTGAAGAAATGTGTTGCCTTTCTATTAATGCATGTTTCTATATAATAAGTGCTAACGCATCAGTGCCATGACTCCTAATCAATTTATTGCAAACTAACCTTGGCATTTATTACATACTGAATGTACAGGTGATTCGAACTTAAAGTGGTTTTCAGCAATCTCTACATTTAAGGTCTGTAGCAAGTCTATATTACTTACTTTGTCATTGACAAAGCTGGCTCCATCAGATGCAAATTTAGCAATGTCAACACACTTTAAACTAAAAGAAACATTTGTAAAAATTACACATGGGTTCCCCGTTCTAATGTCTTAACTGCCTGCAATGTGTAATAAGAAATATTTTTAGATCTTCTTGAACTTATTACTTACATA